AGAACACTAAATACTAGACACTACCATGTGCCGCCTGGAAAGAGAAGAAGAGATGTGGGATATCTGGTGACCTGGTACAGGGGCCAAATGTAGTTTACGGATTAGCGCTATATTATGAGATAAAGTCTTCAGAATATTTTTGTTGGCCTATTTTGCAACCCAGGCCTGGACTCTTCACAATTAAAGCATCCTGCTCTGTACAATGAATTATTTTTCTATTTACCTAATGCACCCAACTTTCCATCAATAGCTGGTATGTGGCACAATCGTCACTAAGTCCTTTCAGAGTACACAGAGCAGCAGCTGCTCTTTAAATACAATATAAAGAAAGATAAGGCTCCAGCATACAATATGGTTAGACCTCCTTCTTGGCAATTCACTCTTCAATCACAGGCTTTTAGGCCTGAAAGGCAAGAAAGTCAGGCTCACCATACATGATCTCTTGCTAGTCTGTGGGCAGGATCAGTGCCTATCCCTGACAAAATTACCATTCATCTGTAGTGATGCAAGAAAAATTGAAATAATGTACATTTTTAAAAACCTAAATCTATTCACTGTATGGGTCCATGACTTATTTTGAGATCACATCCTTCCTACATTTGGCTATTAAAGATCCTCTCTTTATAAAATGATGAGGACAGCAGACAGTAATGTTCTTAATTGGAAAATTAAAACTTGACACACTGTGGGTCTCCCCATCACTTTCACCCAGGCTGGAGTGCAGTGGTGCGATCTCAGCTCACTGCAAGCTCCGCCTCCCGGGTTCATGCCATTCTCCTGCCTCAGCCTCCCAAGTAGCTGGGACTACAGGCGCCCACCACCACGCCTGGCTAATTTTTTGCATTTCTAGTAGAGACAGGGTTCCACTATGTTAATGGTCTCGATCTCCCGACCTCGTGATCTGCCCGCCTCAGACTCCCAAAGTGCTGGGATTACAGGTGTGAACCACCACACCCAGCCCCACTTTTTTGTAAATTGTATTGATCCAGAAAAATCTAAATGCCTGAGAAGCTCTCTTCCCTGGAATTATGAGAGTAGCTATTCATGTATAAAATTTCACTATAATTTACCAAAAATTACACAGACCACAGAGTTAGGCTACTTTGAAGCAGCAAAGATGGCAGTGTCCACAGATAAATGACACACATAGAATATACAGCCTGAACATAGAATGTGAACCTGTGAGCCTAAATACCCAGGAGCCTTAAATCTGTAACAGAAGTTAATGTAAAGGGAATAAACAGTTCCAGTGGAATGGTGAATGCATGGAGTGAATGCATTTTGCTAACTAGTGTGTTAGCAAAATGGCAAAAAAAAAATCATATAGCATTAAAGTTGGACTTCACAAGCTAAGACATCCAACAAAGTTCAAAGAAAATAAGGAGCTTCCACAGCCACCAGAACAAACACACAAGAATTAATTTTAGTTGAACTCAAACTTGTCTTAAATCAATAATCTTCTACTCACATTAATGTCTTGACTGAATATCACAATGCAAAACACCCACACATTACGGAAAAGGATTCCAGCTGGTGCTGGGTGCAGTGGCACACACCGATAGTCCCAGCTACTCAGGAAGCTGAGGCAGGAGGGTCCCTTGAGATCAGCTCAAATGTACCCTGGGCAACATAGTGAGACCCTTTCAGGTAACAGGAGGAAAAATGCAGCATGATTATATTGTTCTCTTGTTATAAGGCACTGTCATTTAAGTATAACCTGGAGTATTTACAATAGAATTCAGATTTACCAGATGAGAGCATGATAAGCAGTGTCAGATGGCTGTGGAAAGATATGTGTTTCTGAAACCTACAGGTATCAAGAAGGAAAAACACAAATACATCTTGTTTAGTGCAGAGCTGCAGTTTAAACTGTTTAAAGTCCCAAACTCTGTTAATTTTTGAAACCGTGACAGTGCTGACTACTGGGAGTATCAAAAATCTCTTTAGGGCTGTTGTTATATTTATAATTTCTAAAAGGTGAGGGAAGATAGCTCGATGGATTTCTATTAAAAGCTGTTCCTGGCCAGGCGAGGTGGCTCACGCCAGTAATCCCAGCACTTTGGGAGGCTGAGACGGGCGGATCACCTGAGGTCAGGAGTTCGAGACCAGCCTGGTCAATATGGTCAATTGACCTGGTCAATACAAAATACAACATTTTTGTATTTTTAGTAGATAATGCATGGTGGCATGCACCTCTTATCCCAGCTACCATGGAGGCCGAGGCACAGAATCGCCTGAAACTGGGAGGCGGAGGTTGCAGTGAGCCGAGACTGTGCCATTGCACTCTAGCCTGGGTGACAGGGCAAGACTCCCTCTCAAAAAAAAAAAAAAAAAAGGTCATTCCTGTGTGTTCCATGTAACAGATAGAGTATTTGCTTACAGTGTCTGTCTGTTTAATAAGCCAGCCATTTAATTTTCAATGAAATCAACAAAAAAGAAAAAGGTGCGTGGATATGTGATTTTGAGGGAAAAAAAAAGTCAGTCTTAAAATGTAAGTAAAATATGGAAAGTGACCTTTAAAACACACACACACACACACACACACACACACACACACACAGGGAAAAAAAACCACGTTCCCAAAAGCGTACCTGGTCTTACTCTACACTGTGCGGTTGGCCACGTCCCTATGCTTGAGGTGGCCCTTGGTGGCAGTTCAGAAGCAGGGGACCTGTAGTCCCCTGTATAAGCCAACTCATACCTAACTCTGTATGAGCCAACTCGTCCCCACTCCCAGGACATTCTTCCACATGGAAACCCCCTCTCCTCTCTTTTACCATAACACAAGAGCACTCTCCTCCTCAGAATCCACCTCAGTTTTCACAGTCTCCACAAAAAGAAATCAATAAACAATCCTGGCTTGCAGAGATCTTCTCCTAGTTCTGCATAACCATAGCATTTACACACTCAACAGGATAGAGCACTAAGTGAACACCGGATGACTGATACAAGTATTTTCTCTGGAATTGGATCAGGGATAATCTGGGATTAAAAGAGAACATAAATATTATTCGCCACGTATTTTGGAAAAATCATAGTCAGCAATTCCATTATCCTAAATACAAATACAAAAGTATTTAGGATATTAAATACAGAAATACGAATATTTCTGCAGAAACAAAGCCTCACTACCAGGATTTAATCTTCATTCAAAACAAACCATTACCTGTGCTTAATGGACCGGAGCTGTTGAAACGCCACCAAGTAACTGAACCAGTCTGGATATTCGGTCCAGAAATGCTATCTGAGTACAGAGCAAAGAGCACAGCTTGCTAATTACGCTTCCCACAGCTTTTAAGTTCTTCATGTCACGAGCAGAGCTATGGAGTTCTCAACCAGAAGTTCTTGCCTCTCCATTTACAGCTACCTCTCCCCAGAACTTTTGTTACTAGAGTCTGTCTTTGAGGGCTGAGATGAAATGAAGAAATGGCCTTTGAAACCCAAAGGAGGCAGGGCAAAGACCTTGACAGTCCAGGGTGGTCTTGCCCCTCACTTTGTGACACACGACCCAGTGGGGTTAACTGTCTTGGATTGTTTTGTGTCTTGTTTCCTTTTTGATGCATTCTGGTGTGAATTTTTCCTTGTCAGGTTGGTTGAGGATGGGACAGGAGCCAGAGGTGACACAGAAGTGTCGCAGGCAGTAGAAAGGAGAGGATATCTATAGGTACTGAGCAAACAGCTCCTAGACAGGTAAGCTCTGAGGGCCTTCCCCATCAAGGCCTTTGAGAAAGTGCTTCTCCTTACTGTCCGCACCACTGCACACCTCCTCCACACTTCAATATGCTGGTTTGGGTTTTCTCTCTCCAGTCTTAAAACATGGAACGTTTCACATCTAAAGTTCACATCTTTTATTAATAATGAAAGACATATCCTGAGCTTCCAGAGATTCTTTTTTATTATAATTAAAGTAATGCTGCAAAACACTTCAACAGCATCTTCTAACATACATGTATCACTGACGTAAAATTATACAGCCATGATTTCCAGCCTCTGAAGTGGTACTGGATATCGTATCCGGTCATGAGCAATTTTATATTTAATATTAAGCACATACACAGTTGGGAATGTCAGAGAAAAGACTGGAAGACCAGTGGCCCCCAAAACATACTCTTACATGACACTAAAGGGCTATTTTCTGGGGTAAACTGAGGTTCCTTCTAGAAATATCATCAAGACCTGGACTGAATCCAACATGCCCTCACTTTCACCAGTGTGGACTGTCTGTCTCCACTGTGCCTGGCAGTGGGCAAATGATGGGAGTAAAAGGGGGGTGAGAGGGAGCTCCGTTCCTCAGGAGCTCACAGGCAGCGAGAAAGACGCTATGAAGACTAAATGGTACAACCCATGGGGCCAGCGCCGTGGCAGTGCCCTATCAAGCATATAGGGAGCACAGAGAGACAGAGGAATTCTTCCTAGAGAAGAAACTAGAGAAAAGTCCCACAGAAGACATAAGATTTCAACTGGCTATCAAAGAAAGAGCAGGAGTTAACTAAGAATGTAAGTCGGGGAAGAATTCTTTGGACAAAAGAATCACTCTCGAAAAATCTCTCTTTCTCCCTCCCTCCCCCAGTGGCTTGGGGTGAATAAAAGCAACCCACCAATTTTAAACTAGCTAACCTAGACTTTTCATTACTGTTGCAGTTTCTCCAATGGTTGTTTGTCTTCAGCTCGTCACCCATTCATAGCATCCACAAAAGTGACCTACTGAATTTGCAGAGGCAGAATTTTTACAAGAATAGTAACACTAGGGTCAAATTTAATACTGTAGATTGCCTTTCTGGCCATATGCTCATGGCACATGCCAAGCCACAAGAGTAGATGGGAAGGAAGCTTCATGTGCTGCCCTAGGCTTCTATTGCATTAAGCATTTTTAAAATTTTAGTATAAACTGATAAAATGCAAGAGCTATGCATCTACTTTTAAACTAAATCATTTTCAGTAAATCGCTGAATACTGTATTCAGAAAACAAGATTTTTACAAGATGATTTGTTACTCTTACCTCCATGGGAAAAGCTTTGAAATTAACCGTGTGCTCAGAACCACGCTGGTTTTCTCTTCCCCAGTGAAATCTCACTTCATACAGTTCAAATTCATGCCCTTGAGGCAATGGTCCTCCCGAAAGAACTGAAAAAGAAAATATATGTTACTGAATTACATCACACATTTACCTCAGCATTATAAACATTAGAGACTTTTTTTTTCACCAAAATGCTCTCATGGGTTCTACAGATTAAATTCACAAAGTCAAAATGAGAAATTTACCACAACTGTGAGGTGAATTTAAACTATCTAGGCTTGGCTGAAATTCTTGTCCTGGCCATTCAGACATAGTAGAAGTTCAAAACCTCTGAAAAACTCATAATGATATGTATATTTTAATTTCCTATGTGTTTTCAGTCTAGAAGTAGACAAGGAAAACAAATTCCTCTCTTAGAGATTTAAGCTTAGCACTGATCAAGAGACAAAAAATATGGTTTAACTCTCAGACTGACCAATAATATTCTGTAGATGTCTAAATAAATTAAACTACATTTGCAGATCATCCACTTGTACTAGGAGGCTTCCAATTTAGAGAATTGTGGTGTGGACTAACAAAACTATCCATGAAGAGGATTGATTAGCATTAAGTCAATCAATAATGAAATTGCACTTCAATAGCTGATGGACATTCATTACCACAAATGACACAAAATAAAACTGCAATAAAATATTAACAATACTCAAAATATTAACAATACTCAAAATATTAACATCAGTCCCACAAGATCATGTCTTTTTCTCATTGTTGGATATGATCAAGACCTTTGTCCCCAACAAGGGCACACTAAAGGATAATGAAAAATACATTTGCATGAGAACCTGTCTCAAAACAATAAAATTCTTTAGTTAAAAATTCCCTGACAGCATACATACAAACTTGAAATAAAGTTTCCTACAAACAAATGGTCAATTTCAATACAAATAAAAGTTGTTTAACTCAGGGCATTTTTCCTCTAGCAATTCCCAATTCTGAATAGTATCAGCTAAGAATTTTAGGTTATTTAGCTAACAAAATTCAACACCTTCCCTTTCCTAGAAGTAGACTTTTTGAAACAGATCATCCTTCACATTTGGGTTGCCTTTGAGGAGGACATAACAGATTCCACACCTCTTTTGAGGAAGAGTTCTGTCATTCATCCTTATCCTAAAACTCAAAGAAGAAAGCAAATTGGTGCAACAATATTTACTTGTTTGGTTGGTTCTTCATCTAAAGACTTGTTCCAAAAAGGATTTAAGGCTGCTTATGTCAAGGTACATACAATACAGTCAGACAGCATAAATTAGGAAAAAGAACAAGGGGAAGCAAAGAAAGAGGCTGAAAATAGATGGAGAAATGAGGCTATCAGACACAATGAAGGTCATGGAGTCCTTGATAAAGGTACCCCACAAATCTGCTCCCAAGCTTTCTAACAGCTCAAACAACAAAGACAAGCAACATCCAGAGCAAGAACTAACTTTAATTTTTTGAGTGGATACACTTCACATCAAGGGGAAGGGAAGTGAGATTCATGGCCTTTAGGATCACAGTGTCATGCATGATTTTAGATTTTAGTGTTTGTCCTCATGCTTGGTCTGACTTACGTCACACAACAAATCCAAGGGGATAGTGTTATCATCAACCCCACAGACAGGGCAGAAAAGTGGGATGAGAGGGGCTAAGTGTGACCTGCCACAGTCAGCCTCCTAGCAGGCCCCAGGACAGGACCTGGAACTCGAATCTTCTGACCTACATTCCAGGGGTGAGGCAGGGATAGGGAAACCCAAATGTCAGTATCTGTGAGCATGAACTAAAAAACAATGACTTATCTAAGCCTAGATTTATAAACTGAAGTTGCTCCTTGGAGAACTGCACTTCATCCTATTTCCCAGAATAATCGAAAAACTTGTAATACATGGATCAGAAAGGTTTGTAGATACTCAGAACCACAGTGCAAGCTCACTTCACCTTCCTCTCCAATAAACATCCATTCTGTGGATTTAAGAATGTATGAAATGTTTTCTAAATAACCTCACAACTCATGCTTTTCTCTTGGCTGTCCAAATTTGGTCTTAAGAAAAACCAGGACTGAGACTAGGAGTCTACCCACTGTGTACCCCACCTCCCACACCAAAAAGGAAAAAGAGAACGAGAAAATACACCCCTCGCCACCCCCAGCAACAGTGGGGCCCAAGGCCTCAGCGGGTGAGCTCTATAACACCACTTCTAAAACAAAGCGATAAAACTGTCCTAGAAAAGGCTCAGCTCCACATGGCTAAGGAAGAAGAAAGAGGAGCGTCATGAAATGAAGCACATGTGAAATGGGAAAGACAATTTTTAAAACTCCTTCCCCAAAACCCCTTTATCACATACACTCAGAACACACACACACACACATACACACACACACACACACAAAGGCACATGGTATTTCTAAAACTGTTCTGTTACAGAGCAGTTTACTAGCTCTACTAGTAAACAGCAGTCTACTGGTACTGTCATATGGAAATGAATGATACAGCTTGTAGCTAGTCTTGACAGTGATTTCAGGGGACCATAAAGAGATCCATGCTTCAAAAATACACTCCCTGCATGACCAATGCTCAAAACTTCCTTAACAGCAATGAAGCCTTTCACTTAAACTTGGAGACAGTTTAAGTGAAACACTGTGGAACTTCAAACTGCATAGACCCATGTTTTGATAGGGAGAACTTCAAAATCCAGAGAAGTTTACTCATCCTTCCAACAGGTATTTTTTTGATCATCTACTACATTGTACCAGGTACTGTATTAAGTATTTACAATACATTGATTTTGACAAAACAGACAAACTTCCCTGGCCTTGTAGATCTTACATTCTATCATGCTGAAGTGTAAATTCATATATTTTTCAAGATCGTATTTTTTCTGAGTCCTATCTGGTTATTACATCGCAGGTTTATTAACTGTCATGTCATGATACTCAATACAATGACAATAAAGTAGTTATATTCTATGGTATGAAAGGGAATATACTGAGAAGGGAAGTGTTTTGCCCCAGCCTGGTTCTCCAGGGAGAGGTGACAAAGAGGTGGCTGTCAGCCAGGAACCAGGCTCTGGGTACTTTTCACTGTTGCTGCAGATGAATAATCCAAAGTTAAACCACATTAAAGTCACATAGCCACACAATGCCATAAAAAATGACAAAACTCTGAATTCAGGGTATTATGAAGTGCCAGGTAAGAGCATTACCTGTTCATCCCCCAAGAATGATTGTGTTTACAGACTAAAAATAACAGCAGCTCTGTTTTATCCATCTGGTTCTTCATCTAAAGACTTGTCTGGTAACATCCTCTTTCAGCATTATTCTTCCTTTTTACTGCTTACATTTTTTTAAATAAAGAAAAAAATGATCTCAGAAGGGGAAGCCTTTTCCTACATTTATCCAAATCAAATTTTGATCAAATTTAATAATTTTAATCCCAGCACTTTGGGAGGCCGAGACGGGTGGATCACGAGGTCAGGAGATCAAGACCATCCTGGCGAACACAGTGAAACCCCGTCTCTACTAAAAAATACAAAAAACTAGCCAGGCGAGATGGCGGGCGCCTGTAATCCCAGTTACTTGGGAGGCTGAGGCAGAAGAATGGCCTAAACCCGGGAGGCGGAGCTTGCAGTGAGCTGAGATCCAGCCACTGCACTCCAGCCCGGGCGACAGAGCGAGACTCCGTCTCAAAAAAAAAAAAAAAAATTTAATAATTTTGCTGAGTGATATTGGGTCACTACATGGCAGGTTTATTAGTTATGATGTCAGCTGGTTCAATAAAGTTACAATGAAAAAACATGAAACTCCTACTGATGACATGCTGAATTTTTTTAGAAAAGGAACTTGTGAAAAGAATATAAAATAAACTGATGCCATTGCCACAGCCTCCATTTTCTTTAATGCTCTTTAATATGCTTGGCAATTCCATTTATAAGACATAAACAAGAGCTCCCTGAGAAAGTTTCTGTAAGATTTGAAAACCCTATAAAGATGTGATGTATATACATTTATCTAAATCTATCTAAGCTTCTACAATCCTTTGCTGAAAACCAATTTACCAGATAATTCAGAGGCTAGTGCTCAAGCCTTATTCCTTCTCTTTTCATTTGACTTCAACGCTAAGTTTTGAGATCAACTCGACTCCTGGCCCTGTGCTGACCACTGAGTGTACAAAGCGAAGAAGATCCAGGCTTGGTGTTGACTGGGCAGTCTCAGTGGTTAAAAGAGTAAACTGAATAGTCTAAATAGAACATATTAAGAGCAGGAAAGAGTAGCAGGAGAGCATCCAGCAAGGGACAAGCCAGTAACAAGCATGAATCATAAAGTCAGGGAAGATGTTCCCAAGAAGATATCAGTTCAGCTGAGTCTTGAATAAGCTAACAGGTGAAAAGTGCATGCAGAGTAGAGCACAGAGCCTAAGAAATATTCTGAGACATGAAGCAGTTTAAGTGTGTTCTAGGAGAATAAAATCAAAAGTTAGCAACAGTCAAGGCGGGCATGAGGAGGAGACGTACAGCCTATGCTTAGGAGCGGGGGTTTCTCCTGTCCGGAACCATCGAGGGCTTTTAATCAGGGGACTAACATGGTCATATTTGCAATTTGAAGTATTATTTGTGCAGTATCTGCAGATGACAGAATAACAAACGGTAAGCCTAACCAGTTAGAAAGCTGCTATCATGTCCAGTCACAGATGGTGAGGCCGGGAGATGGAGCCTGCAGAGCCACACCTCCAGCACAGAGGAAGCCCCACACCAGTGGGTCCCTGGTACACCACTCGAAGGATCCAAAGGATTCATTCTTATTTATTTATTTATTTGTTTATTTATTTATTTTTGAGATGGAGTCTTGCTCTGTCATCCAGGCTGGAGTGCAATGGTGTGATCTCGGCTCACTGCAACCTCCGCCTCCCAGGTTCAAGTGATTCTCCTGCTTCAGTCTCCCTAGTAGTGGAGATTATAGGTGTGTACCACCATGCCTGGCTAATTTTTGTATTTTTAGTAGAGACAGGGTTTCACCATGTTGGCCAGACTGGTCTTGAACTCCTGACCTCAAATGAGCCACCAGCCTTGGCATCCCAAAGTG